CCTGGAACAAGTGTCAGGCAGCTGTTCTCTGCCCCTCATGGTCTCCCGTCTGCTACTTTTGCCTGTCAACTTGACCACGCCATGAGGGGCCCAGGTACTTGTTCATGCATTGTCTTGGGTGTGTCTGACGGTGTTTTGGATGAAATCAACACAGGAATTGGGTGACAGAGAATGCACTGCATTCCCATTGTGGGGGGCCTCCCCTGGGGCCTGCCGTGTGACGGCACATCATTAGGGCCAGAAGATAAACGTGAAGGAGTAGCTGTGATTCCTGGTCTAGTCCTGACAAGCATTCCCCCAGGGAGCGAGGGCTTAGCTAGCCAGCTGCCTTCGCTTCCTGCCCAAGCCCTGCTCCTCCAGCCCTGCTCTCCCAAAACCTTCCCAGAGCCCAGGCTGCCTCACAGCTCTGACAAAGGCCCATGGAGTCCTTGTGGGTTGGATTCAGAAGCTCTTAAGCTACCTGGTGTCCCACCCAGCATCTTCCAGAGGGAAACTCAGGTGCCGCCCCAGGCACCTGATACCACATCCTGATGGCAGCCACCTTGGGGAAAGGCTCGGAGCCAGAGTGGGGAGCCCCTGGGTCCCATGAGGTAAGCTCCTGTATGACCTCAGGCAAGCCACTTCCCCTCTCTGGGTCTTGGTTACCCCCTCCACAAAATGAGAAGCCTGGCATAAATTGCCTTCAGGACATTTTGGATCAGGCACATAGCCGGGAAATGATGTCAAGTCCTCCGTCCATGTTCAGGCAATGTTGATTTAGCAATTCAGTGATAAGATTCCAGGCAGGCCTGATGTCCATCTGCTTTCCTGCTATGCCCTTTGTCTCAGCTGTTAGCCGTTATGTCTCAGGTACCAGCCCAGTGCCAGTCAAAGGCCTGGCATATCACAGGTGTTAAACCTGTGGGCATGGACTCCCTGTTTTCAGAACATCCACAGTGACTCAAAACCTGAGGTCAGAACAGGATCTGCCCCTGACTAGTCAGTTCAGGTCATGGCCCCAGAGGGGCACTGTGTCTGCCTTGCTCCACATTTCCTCTCTGACCATGGCCGTAGGAGTTACAGCCCTGCTAATTGTTCCTTGCCTTCACACCCACAGTTCCTTTTGCCTAGCTCACAAGCTAATGAGCTGGCCTGCTGTGGTCTCCGTGAGGTGCGGTAAGGACACACGTCCAGAGTCAAAGCAGACAAGCCCCAGAGTTGTTTGTTCCCTTTGTCCCCAACTCTCAAGGGGACAACAGGGGAAGAGGCAGGGGAGCACTTGCCCAGCTGAGAAGCACTGAAGACCCACCCCTGTTCGCATCACCGTTGTTTATCCTAACCAATTCTACTTTTGGGAAGATGTGCCTCGCCTCCCAAGGCTGCTGGCTGCAGACTCAGAACTATTGGGCCCAGAGCAGCCATGGCCCGGCATTAATGCTAGACCCTGTGATAATGTCCTGGGAGGCTCAGGATGCGTGGGGCTGTGGCTCCCAACAGATCTCTCTGTCATTGCCGCCTGCTGAAATTCTGTCTACCCTCAAGTGATGCCTGGAGCCTACAGACTCCCCAACCCTCCCCTCACAGTCCCTTCCCCCACCCCGCTGCACCAGTTCATGTCTTCCTTGTAACCCTCACCCCTGTCTCCCTGTGTCCCCAGCTGTGCCTCTGGTGCCAGCAGAGAGCAGACAGGACCTGGTCCTCAACTTGGGCTTCCCCCACCTGTATGGTATGCATCTAACAGGTGCTTTGGCCACACTTTTTTTTTTTTTTAAGATTTATTTATTTATTGGAAAGTCAGATATACAGAGAGGAGGAAAGACAGAGAGGAAGATCTGCCGTCCGATGATTCAACCCCAAGTGAGCACAACGGCCGGTGCTGTGCTGATACAAAGCCGGGAACCAGGAACCTCTTCCAGGTCTCCCGCATGGGTGCAGGATCCCAAAGCTTTGGGCCGTCCTTGACTGCTTTCCCAGGCCACAAGCAGGGAGCTGGAAGGGTAGTGGAGCTTCCAGGATTAGAACCGGTGCCCATATGGGATCCCGGCGCGTTCAAGGCCAGGACTTTTAGCCGCTAGGCCATGCTGCTGGGCCCCTTTGGGCACACTTTTTGACTTGGCTGGCATCCAGGTCTTTCTGTAGGGCGATATTTTCCCAGAGAGTTTGCAGCATCACCCCCGGGAATGTTTTCAGAATTCCAGAGGCTAAAAATATCACCCCAAAGGCTCTGCAGGCTCTTCCTTGTAAGGACCAAGATTGGGCTCCCGAGCGTGGAAGCTTGTGCCCAGCAGAGGGCAGACTCCCAGTCTCCCATGCCTTTTTTAGAAGAGGAGAAAGGTTTTCCTGTCTTCCCTCTCAGTGCCCCCACAGGTCCCCCACTCCAGGAACCCTCTGCCAGCTGTTCTGCATCCACATCCCCCAGCCTGCCACATGGGCCACAGCACTGCTTAAGATAGGTGTTGGGGGTGAGGCGTACAGTGGGGAGAGCCTTGAAGATGTCCCTCGGGGGTTGCTAAGGGACGCCGAGGTAGCAGCCCTGAAGTTGGGTTCAGAACTCTGGATTTGAGACCCAACACTGACACTTGCAAGTTATGTTTCTATGGTCAAAGCCTTAGTCTTGCTGTATCCCTAGGAAAAGAGCTGAGAATGCAGTGTAGGGAAGTATATAAAAGCAGTTTGAATGTGGATGTGGAGTCAACTCCCCTGGACTCCTATTTAAGCTGTCACCATCAGCTTTGTGAACCAGGCTAACTTTCTTTTTTAAGATTTTATTTATAGGGGCCCGGCGCGGTGGCACAGTGGTTAAGGTCCTCACCTTGCACGCCCGGGATCTCATATGGGCGCCGGTTCTATCCCGGCAGCCCCGCTTCCCTTCCAGCTCCCTGCCTGTGGCCCGGGAAAGCAGTCGAGGATGGCCCAAAGCTTTGGGACCCTGCACCCGTGTGGGAGACCAGGAAGAGGCTCCTGGCTTTGGATCGGCATAGTATCAGCTGTTGTGCTCACTTGGGGAGTGAATCATCGGACGGCAGATCTTCCTCTCTGTCTCTCCTCTCTGTATATCCGCCTTTCCAATAAAAAAAAAATAATAAAGATTTTATTTATGGGCCCAGTGTGGTAGCCTAGTGGTTAAATCCTTACCTTGCATGTGCTGGGATCACATATGGGCGCTGGTTTGTATCCTAGTGGCCCTGCTTCTCATCCAGCTCCCGGCTTGTGGCCTGGGAAAGCACAATGGTCGGAGCTGAGCCAATCTGAAGCCAGGAGCCAGGACCTTCTTCCAGGTTTCCCAGGTGGGTGCAGGGTCCCAAGGCTTTCGACTATCCTCGACTGCGTTCCCAGGCCACAAGCAGGGAGCTGGAAGGGAAGTGGGGCAGCCAGGATTAGAACCGGTGCCCATATGGGATCCCAGTGCGTTCAAGGCGAGGACTTAAGCCGCTAGGCCACACTGCTGGGCCCAGAAAGGTAGATTTTTATGGAGAGAAGTAGAGCCAGAAAGAGCTTCCATCCACTGGTCCACTCCCAAAATGTTCACAACAGCTGGGGCTGAAAGAGAGTGAAGCACCCGGGACACAAGCAGTGTCCATATAGGAGTCCTGGGCCAGCAGCTGAGCCTCCATGCCCCTGGCTGACATGCATGTGGGTGCTGTGGTCATGCCGTGTCCATTGCAGATATGCAAACAGAGCTTTCTCGAGCACCTATGGCAGCAAGAGGCACACCCACCCTGAGGTGCCAGAGTTTTCCTCCCCCAAAGGGACCCAGATTACCAGAAGAACCCCGCTGCCCAGCCAGGCCCAGGGCCAGCAGACTCATCTCATGACCAGCAGATGAAGGACTAGCTATGCAGTGAGGATGAGCCGAAAGTCAGTGCGTGCCCTGTGCCCAGGGTGCACGGGGCCCTCTGGGTCACCACCCCACCTACAATGACCAGGGGCTCTTTGGTGCAGGACATCCTGAGCAGACTTACAAGCCCTGCAGGGGGACTGTCCTCATAGCCCTTAGACTGGGCACTGGAAGAGAAGTAAGAGTTTGCCAGCCAAGTGGGGTCTGGGGTCATTCGGGAAGTTAGAAAGGCTTGCTGTGGTTGGCACAGGGGGTGGGAGCCAGGGTAAGGGAAACACGTGGACAACCGGGAGGTTGAAAGTGGGTTAGGGCCTGATTGCGAAATGTGCCACATAGAAGAGGCTGTCTGCTGGCCGGTAGCCCGTAGCCGGGTGGAGAGCAGCATGAGGCACCCTGGGGCCTGTTGGTTAGCGCTGCCACCTCGCAGGAATGCTCATCCGGAAGGGAAGAGACAGGAACCAACTGTAATTGCAGTTGTCTTTGGTCTCAACCACTCTGGGTTTTGTTTCCCTTCTCAGCAAAAAGAAGTCACTGCACAGGCCCTTATGTTGTACTGAGGCTTGAGCGAAAATGCACGAAAGGGTTATGCAGCATGGACGGTGGGGAAAGGGCCCCTGACTCAGTCACTGGGGGCTGGCAGCTCCGCTGACTCTCCAACCTGGAGCTGGGGGCCTAGGACAGCATCGTATTTAACCAAAGCAGGGCTTGGGGAGGCTGGTGCGTTGTGTATTGAGAGAGAGAGTATGCCTCTTTCCTCCCTTTCGACAAGGGTCGATGGACAACCGCCGGGCAAGGTCTGAGCCCACCTTGGGGCAGGAGGGGTTTGGAGTGTACAGGGCAGATGTTGGCTCAAAGCCAGCGATGCTCCCTGCCCTGGCCCGGGAAGAGTCAGGAGGCTCCGCGGACCGGGAAGGCTCAGCCCGAGTCTGGGAAGACATTCTCTAGGCCGGCCTGGAGCCCACGGCTCGGGGGACCCAGACGCGGCACCTCTGGGGCACAGGGGCTGGAGAAGGAATCTGAGTTGAGAGTCAGGCGAGGAGAGGGGGGCGCCGGGGCGGAGATCTGGGCGGAGAGAGATGGCAGGAAACCGGGAGGAGTACGCGGGGTGGGTGGAGACGGCAGAGGGGACAGGGAAAAGGGCGGGTAGGAGGGTGGAGAGAGGGAGTAGAGAGAGAAAGAGAGAGGAGGGCTAGGGGAGGAGAGAGGGGAGGAAGGGTGGGGAGCACAACTGAAGAACAGAAGGACCAGGACAGAACCCGGCGAGGCGGCTGCAGCGGGTACCCGGGCCGCCCCCGCGAGCAAGGCGCCGCCATTCCGCTGCTCGGCCCGCCGCCGCCGCGCCCGGGGGCCATGCTGCCACCGCCCCCGCGCCAGCCGCCGCCCCAGGCGCGCTCGGGCCGCGGCGCGGTGCAGCTGCAGCGGCCCTTCCTGCGCGGCCCACTGGGCGTGCTACGACTGCTGCAGCTGGTGGCCGGCGCTGCCTTCTGGGTCACCATCGCCACCAGCAAGTACCAGGGTCCCGTGCACTTCGCGCTCTTCGTGTCCGTGCTATTCTGGCTGCTGACCCTCGGCCTCTACTTCCTCACGCTGCTGGGCAAGCACGAGCTGGTGCCCGTGCTGGGCTCGCGTTGGCTCGTGGTCAACGTGGCGCACGACCTGCTGGCAGCCGCCCTCTACGGCGCCGCTACGGGCATCATGATCGACCAGACGCAACGCCACAGCTATTGCAACCTCAAGGATTACCCGCTGCCTTGTGCCTACCATGCCTTTTTGGCGGCTGCCGTCTGCGGCGGTCTCTGCCTCGGCCTCTACCTGCTCTCGGCGTTCTACGGCTGCTGCCGTCGCTACCAGGGCAAGCTGGAGGTGGCGTGAGTGTTGCCTGCCGATGCGCCCATATCCCTTCGCCTGGCTCTGTGTTTCCACTGCCTCCTGCGCCTTGGATCCCCGGCACACAGTTCTCCCGCCCGACAGTGGCGCCACCGCCTCGAGTCCCGCCCGCCGCACCCTCTCCAAGAACCGTCGCTGGCTGAGGGGCGCTGTCTCCAGGGACCAGCGCGGGCCAAGATCCGAGGGGCCGACGCATGGGTTCAGAAGGGCCAGCCCGAGGCGAAATTAAGCTATTCCTCTTCCCCTTCTTGCGGGAGACGTGGACAGGCGCCGCGTAGATCCGGGGGAGGCTCCCAAATTGGAACCAGCCCTGCGTCCCCTCCTCCTTCCCTGGAGCTTTCGTAGGAGCACCCTGTTCCCGGCCCTTGTTGCAGCCTCGGTGCTGTAGAAGTCAGGCTTGTAGCTACTGCAGCAAGAGCTGGGGACAGGCCTCGGCTGGACCCGGGCTGAACCACAAATTTGGATTTGGCCTTGGGGTTGTGCGGCTGTCCCGCGCCGCGGCCCCTCCCTGCCCTTCCCTAGGCAGCTGGGTGTCTCTGTCCTCGGGCCCTGATGGGGTCCTTACTCGCCTCTGTTAGGCGCAGGCCAAGCCCAAGCACCCTTCACCAACCTCGCACCAATACAGCCTCTTTGCCGGCCTTTCTCACAGGCTTCTGCCTCACCTCATCCCAGATCCATTTGCATTCTGGATCCCATATGGCAGGTTAGGGTGAGCCTACCCATCATGGCTACAGAGAGGACTCACAGCCTGCACTTGGGAGCAGCCAGAACCAGAGCAGAGTGTGTTCTCTGGACTCCAGAGAGTTCCAGCTTCGGAGCTGACCTTAAGAGAGTTTCAGGGCCAAATGAGTTTGGCAACGGTGCTGTCTGTCCTTTTTGGAGACCCATGATGCTTGTGAGTGCCATCAGGGACTCCTAAAATCCTCCATCCCAAAGAAGCCTAGTGTGTACTGCATTACTGCCAGGGGCTAGACTAGTGTGGCATTCCTGGGGTCCCAAGGAGCTGGGCAATTTCTGTAGCAGAGGAAAGAACCCACCCCAGTGGGGGAGGAAACAGCTGCCCCCTATCCAGCCAGAGACTTGGGAACTAGTGAACTTGAACATTGCTGTCCATCTTGACAAAAGGAGCCAAGGTTAACCAGAAGATTTCCCAGCCTAAAGCAAAGTCACCTGTAAGGGATGCTGGCATTGACCTGGAGCGCCTGGCAGGGAGTGTGTGATGTGGGGCCAGTGGCTGGCCAGGCCTCCAAGGTAAGATGCTTCTTGGTCTTCCTGAAAGGGGTTATAAGTCTTGGAATAGGAAGCACAGCTCTCCTTGGTTCCCCAAAGTTGAAAGGAGTTTCTATTCAGAGCAGGTTGGAGATAGTATTAACCACAGTGTGGAAAATCTAACTTTTTTTTTTTCTGAACTTTCAAAAGCTCTGTTCTTGAAAACATGCAACCTCCTGGGTGGAGGTGGCTGTGTTCTCACAAGCTTGTTCTTAAAGCTTTAGTGTAGCGGTTTGTTAGCATCTTGTGGCTGTGGAGGGAGCAGGCGGGGGGACAGCAGGTGTGTAGGCTGGATGGCATTGCTGCATGCAGCGTTTTCGTGTGTCCATCTCTTCCCATCAGTGACTCCACTGAAGTGGCAGTCCATGTGATGCCTGTTCTCCGTACGAGGAGAGTGAGTCCCACAGCAGCTGAGTGACTCCTGCAGCTCTCCTAGCAAGGACCATACATTGCAGGGGATCACACTGGTTAGCTGTAATCAGCACTTAAAATAACCTTAACATACAGTTCACCATTCAGCTGTCTTTAAGCATGCAGGTCAGGGTAGTGCTACTCTCGCCTACCATCTATCTGGAACTATTCCCATCATGTAAAACCGAAAGACTGTAGCCACGGAAAGGTTGGCCATGGATCTCCTTTGGCAAGTTCCAGAACCCTGCACTCCAAGGATCCCCTGGGTCCTCTGGGGTTTCATTTGGGCTGGGCCCCTCAGCTTCAGCCACTGGTACCAGCCAGAACTGGCGTGGGTCTTGCTGGGCTGCTTGGAGACCTTGGACGCCTAGTGACTTTGTGCTCCTCTTGCAGGTTTCCATGCTGCTGGGGCCACGGAGCTTCCCTTGGCTGGTCATGCTGCCCTCCACCAGACACCCACTTCCTTGGGCTGGTAGCACTATGATGGCCAGGGCCAACAGCTGGCCCCAGGGGCAGCCAGGAGAGAAGATGACTTCTGCCCAGCAGCTTCCTTTGCTTCCATCCAGTGGAAGAGCCACGAAGAACAAAGACTGATTCTGCCTTAACTCAAAAGAACTCCTGATCCTTCTCAAGCTCTGGTTTGGACACAAGCTCTCAGCTGCCTGGAACTGAGCTGTGCAGCCCAGCACTCTAAACCATGGGTTTCATTCCAACTTTTGTTCTTTTCCCCTTTTTATATATATATAAATTCCATCTAAGTTGCCTCCTCAGTTTAGGTCCTGTCTCCTCAGGATCTCCTTCCTCCGCAGCCCCCAGTGCCTGGGGCTGTGTTGTTGATCAAGTGGCCTTGCCCAGTGGCCGGTGCCCCCTTGGTCTTCAGGGGGGCCTCGTCCTTCCAGAAGTGCCGGTAGCATTCCAGGGCTCTCTTGCTCTTCCAGATGTGCCTTCCCGCTTGGCTTCCAGCGGCTTAGTGGTGCCATCTGCCAGATGTGAGAAGCACAGATAGGAATGGCCACCATCCACAGCTTCCCACTTCAAGGTCCCAGGCCCTCATTGTGACTGCCTGATCCAGCCCAGAGCATCTGGATCTTGGGGGGCAGTCTCATAGGCCTCCCTCCTAGGATGCCAGGACTTGGGCCAGTCTGGGGTCACCCTGGTGACAACATTTCTACAAACAGCAACAGAGTGGGGGGCTTGGGGAGGGTGAGGATGGTCAGGGAGAGGGTGCCCAAGTGCTTCGATCCCTGGCTTAGTGGTAATCACTAATATGCTTTTCTGAATAAAGTTGGGTTTGCCTGACCTTGACACAGGAGTCTTCTGTGTGGCTTGCTGTTGTACCCTCAGTCAGGATTCCCAGCCCTCTCTGTATGCCTTAACCACAGAGAGGGCTTCTTCCTCTCTGCCTCCCAGCCCTTCTCTTTCCTTCCTGGAGGAAAAGTGAGCTCACAGATTGCCAGTGCTTGAATTAGGAGTGGGTAGCAGGGGTTGCCTGCGGCAGCACCTGAAAGAAAGCTTTCTGTGTCTTTCCTGGCTGAGACTCCTAACCACCTCTCAGTGGGCTTCTATTTGGTAGCTCAGCTGTCATTCTAGGTGCTGGGTGGCTGTGCTGGGTGTGCCCCCAAGGTCCCATACCCTCTGCCCCATCATCTTACAGAAGGGCAAATGGAGCCCCAGATGGGGTGGCAACCTGCCCAGTGCCACACAGCTAGTGGGACAGAGTGGGGTGACCTGGAGCCTAGATAGGCCACCCTTAGTCCACTGTGCGGATTCTGGTGTTGCCTGCTGGGCCACACCAGATCCAGCTTTCCCGATGCCCCAGAGGTTTCGGACCTAGCCTGCCACGCCTGCTGGCTGAGTTGCCCAGGGGTAGTTCATTTGTTCCTTCCTGTGCCCTGGGCCTTGCCTCCATAACCAGGAAATAGGATTCTCTTGGCACAGCTCAAAACAGTGGGAACAGTTCCGGCTGGGATCTGATGCTGTGTGCTTGCCACACCTACTCTTCCAAAGAATGTTCCCCAGGGCAGGGCACTCACTCACTTGCATACACACACATACCACACTTCCTTTTGGGGTTTCTGTGCCAGAGGAAGTGCTACCCACTGCTAGCCCCTTCTCCCTCTCCTGCCTATTTAGGAGTTTCACACAAAATAAAGCATGGCTCTGCTTTAGGCAGAGGCTGGCAGCCCTGCTGTGCTTTCCTTTGGCTTGCTGGCTGCATTGTGCAATAGAAAATGCACTTCTATTTTATTGCATCTCCCCAGCAGTCAGAGATTGGCATGTGTCCTCTGGCTCGCTGAAGGAAGCAAGGCTGGAGAGGGAAGGGTCGAACATGGAGTCACAGCTGGCTGGCACAGCACGGGGGACAGGAGCACATGCTCCTAGTATCCTTGGTACATTTTGGGGAGGTTCAGGAGCTTGGGTGGAATTTGAATTTTTTTTTCCTGGAGACCAGGTTTCAGAAATCAAATCTAATCTGTTTCCGGTATTTCCTGTTTAATGTGTTTGTGTGTGTAAAGTCTGAAATAAGACACTGCTCCCTAGGGGCACAATGAACTTACTCAGTTCTGAGAAACCCAAGGGCTGACTCATTGATGGCTATTCCTTTTCTCACTTTTCCAGGGGTAAGGGTGGGGTGGTCAATGGTGAGAAAGGAGAATTGACTAATATTGTCAGAGAGGAAAAGAAAATTCAGGGATATAAGAAAAAATTCTGGCTAGCAAGATCTGTGTACAAACTTATTCTGCTTATTGTTTGTTCATTACAATGCTTATTTGTAAAATAAAATAGCAATATACTAGGTACCCATTAAAATATAGCAAAATACACCCATTTATACAATTTTTTTTAGATTTATTTATTTTGTTGGCATGGCAGATTTACAGAGAAGGAGAGGCAAAGAGAAGGTCTTTCATTTGCTCTGGGCTGTCTTCTACTACCTTTCCTGGTGACAACCAGGGAGCTGGATGGGAAGTGGAGCACTTGGGACACAAGCTGGTGCCCATATGAGATACCGCAGCTTATAAGGGAAGGGTTAGCCAAGTGAACCGTCGCATCAGGCCACATTTAAACAATTTGAACAGTACAGAAGTATATAAAGAAGGGCCCAGTGCAGTAGCTCAGTGGCTAAAGTCCTCACCTTGCACGTGCCAAGATTCCATATGGGTACCAGTTTGTGTCCCGGGTGCCCCACTTTCCATCCAGCTCCCTGCTTGTGGCCTGGGAAAGCAGTCGAAGACAGCCCAAAGCCTTGGGACCCTGCACCCACATGGGAGACCCGGAAAGAAGCTCCTGGCTCCTGACTTCGGATCGTTGTGGCCATTTGGGGAATCAGCAGATGGAAGATCTTCCTCTCTGTCTCTCCTCCTCTCTGTACATCTGCATTTCCAATAAAATAAATAAATCTTTAAAAAAAAAAAAAAAGGATGGCTCAAAGCCGTGGGACTCTGCACCCACTCCAGGAAGACCTGGAAGAAGCTCCTGGCTTCTGTATTCAGGTCAGATCATCTCCGGCCATTGTGGGCATTTGAGGAGTAAATGAGCAGATGGAGGCTCTTTCTTTCTCTCCTACTCTGAGTAAACATGATCTGAATTCCCAATAAAATAAATAAATCTTAAAAAAAAGAAAGAAAAAAGATCTGTTTCATTCCCCATAACTCTTTCAAATGAGTAAGTAAATAAATGAACAAGTCTGCGGTACATACTGGCATGCATGGAAACCAGGGTAGGGGGCAGGCCTGGTGGGGGTCATGGGGTCGCCCCAACTAGGCTGCAGCTCCCACTAGTTTGCGTGAGGGCCGAGTATGAATTGGGCAGGATCGGGAAGGACTACAACACCCATCAGTTCACATGGAAGACAAGGCTGGAAACAGAACTAACCCAGCTACAACCAGCATGTGCATAAGCTGATTGCGGCGATGGACTGTGCTGGACCCTGTACTGGCAAGCACACACAAGAATCAGGTCTGGGATCATCTCAGATGAAGTTTCCTTGGAGATCCCTCCAACTGAACTACTGATCTCAGAACCCCAACCATGAAGAGACTGTCAGCCAGTGAATTCTGAATAGATTTCATTGCGATTGGAATGGTGAGATTGGCAGCAATTCAGAACTGTTACACTAGCAAAACTGCTTGAGCAGAACCCTCGGAGCGTGCCTCACATTGGGGATCTGGGATGGGTGGGAGACTAGGTGGGGCTTCTCCCTTTGTTTCTCCCCGACCCCAGATACAGGGGGAAAAAGTGCTGATATTAGCGTGGAAACGATGGTCTTACCCATTTTCCTGTAGCCCTTGATCCTTAGTATCCTAATCAACTAAGTAAGATGATTTAAAAAAAAAGTTTGATGCCACTAACAAAAAAAATATATAAACAAGAAAAAGACCATGTGACTGAATCACTCCACTGTGAGAATTCTTCCCCCAGAGAAGTGAAAGCTTTGTCCAAAGGTTCGTACATAAATGTTCATAAGAACTCTATTTACAGCAACCAACATCCTGAAACAGCACACTCACCAATATGTGAACAGCTAAACAAACAATAGTATATTCAGAGTCATAGAAGCATAAGCTATTTTGTCATAATATCATGAATAATTTTGATGCTGAGTGAAATAAACCAATTCATCCTCCCTTCAAAAAGAGCACAAACTGTAACATTCATTCCATTCAGATAAAGTCTAGGAGACACATCTGATTGGCAGTCACAAACAGCAGGTCGGTGTTGCCTGGGGTGGGAGGTGGGATGGGCAAGGGAGAACCAAGGGCCAGGGAAACACTGGCCATTGGGGATGTACGACCACTGGGCTGTGCCAGCATTTCCATAGTGTGTACACAAATAACCTCCCATCACATGGCAGGTTTGATTTTGCTATTTGTTTTTGGAAAGACAGAGAGATAGAGACAGATGGGAGAATACACAGAGAGAGCTCCCATCTGATGGTTCACTCCCCAAATGTTCACAACAGCCACAGCTGGGCCAGGCCACAGCCAGGAGCCTGGAACTCAATCCTACCCTCCCAAATAGCTGGCAGGGACCTATCAGGGTATGTGTTAGCAGGAAGTGGGAGCAGAGGCAGGACTCAAGCTCAGACAGCTACGGGAAGGATGCCGGCATTCGAAGGTATGCCTTGCCTGCAGTGCCAAACACTCGTTTCCACACTGTACAGTTGCAATTTAAATATGTGCACACCAAGTAGACTCTAACAAATCGTTTTCCAACAAAATCTAACATCTAGACCACCGCATCAGCTCTCTGAGGCTCACTATAGTTATTGTCATCAGCTGATTGGAAAATGAGATGAAATCTCATATGTAAACCTATTTTGTAAACTGTGAGCACATGTTGTCATTGCTATCATTATGGTTACAATCAGGACAAAACAAAAACAAAAACAAAAAAACACCTGGGGTCATCAGCATGGCATGCAAGGCTAAGCCTCTGCCTCCAAGCCTGAGCATCTCGAGGGGAGGGGAGGGCCACAAGCGAGACGCAGATCTCAGAACTGCTGCACCACCTTGTCAGAAAAGCTCAGCACAGACGGCATTTGGCACAGCGGTGAATACGCCCCTGTGACACCCACATCCCATATTAGAGTCCTGACGCCACTCCCAATCCCAGCTTCCTGCTCACCGACTCCCTGGAGGCAGCAGACAATGCCTTAAGCATTGCATCCTTGCTACCCACAGGGGAGATCCAGATCTATTTCCTGGTGTTGTGGCACAGACCTGAGTGTGAATAGCAGTTGGCAAGACATGTGGAAAAATACATGGTGCCACTACAGTGCCTTGGACATAGCAGCTTGCCCCAGGAGCCTCTTTCCAGCACACAAAAGGATACTTTGTGGGACTTAGAAAAGAGAGGTTCCCTAGGGCACCCATCATGCCCTTGGTCATGGATAAAGTCATGTTTTCTCTCTAACTGGACTCGAGAACCAGCCCAGCCCTGGTGCCACCCAATCCCAAATGAATGGCATCATGGGATAGGGAGGGAAGACAGGCTGTCTAATTAGAAGAAGCCAGGCTGGAATTTCCATAGGCTGGGGAGCCTGCGGGAATGAGTTCCAGTAGTCTCCTGCTAGCCACACCCAAGGGACCTTTCTGGGATTCTGTCTACTTACCAACACATCTTGTCCCAGATCTCAGACCTTCCAAAAAAAAAAAAAAAAAAAAGATTTATTTATTTTTACTGGAGAGGCAAACCTACAGAGAGGAGAAACAGAAAGATCCTCCATTTGTTGTTTCACTCCCAAATGGACATTCCATATTGTAGACCTGCATTGCTGCTTCTGATCCAGCTCCCTGCTAACG